AAGCTAATGAAGATGCTCCCATCGGGCACAGCATCCCGGAGGCTTAGGGATCGTCCCCTGAGAGCTAAGTCCTCCCAGAGGACTAAGCCAGATCTCTTGCGGGGCAGTCAGATTCTCTCTCATGAAGCCATCACTTGCATAGTGATGACCATTGCGTGTCTGTCACAAAACGATGCTGGACTATTCTGAAATATGATTAAAGCCTTGAAAATTGAGAACTACATTTTAGTCCACTTCAAATAAAAATCACTAATTTTTTTAACCTCAGTGACAGCAACAGCAAATAAAGCTCATTTACGTTTTGCCGGGGAAAGAAAATGAACACCAAAGAAGGAAGAGAGGTAGGCAGACCAACTGTCCATCACTATAGTTGATTTGCCCTTTATCACCATGAATACACTGTCTTTTTTTATGCTAAGCGGGAGACGTCACAGATTGGAAGACATTGGAGAGTTTTAACAACATACGTAATTCATGGTTCCAGATTTTTCAGGAACAGCAAAACAAGCACCGAGAAGCAAATAAGCAAAATTTTAAAGTAAGTTCAGTATTAAGTATCACAGTTACCAATCTAAATTTAGAATAATAGTAGAATCTGGGGGCCTGGCGTGGGAGCCCAGCGGCTAAAGTCCTCGCCTTGCATGCTCCAGGATCCTATATGGGTGCCAGTTTCTATCCTGGCAGCCCTGCTTCCCATGCAGCTCCCTGCTTGTGTCCTGGGAAGGCAGTTGAGAATGAACCAAAGCCCTGCACCCACATGGAAGACCCAGAAGAGGCTCCTGACTCCTGGCTTCGGGTCAGCACAATTTCAGCTATTGCAGAGACTTGGGGAGTGAATGATCAAACAGAAGATCTTCCTCTCCTCCTCTCTGTATATCTTTTTTTTTTTTTAAGATTTATTTATTTTTATTGGAAAGTCAGATATACAGAGAGGAGGAGAGACAGAGAGGAAGATCTTCCGTCCGACGATTCACTCCCCAAGTGACCACAACGGCCGGTGCTATGCTGATCCAAAGCCAGGAGCCAGGAACCTCTTCCGGGTCTCCCACACAGGTGCAGGGTCCCAAAGCTCTGGGCCGTCCTCGACTGCTTTCCCAGGCCACAAGCAGGGAGCTGGATGGGAAGTGGAGCTGGCAGGATTAGAACCGGTGCTCATATGGTATCCCGGGTGCATTCAAGGCCAGGACTTTAGCTGTTATGCCACCGTGCCGGGCCCTCTGTATATCTTTGCAATAAAAATAAATCTTAAAAGAAGAAGGTAGAAAATTGCCCATCCCTGCTTCTTCGAGAACTCTCTAGATAATCAGTCTTCATCAGTTTTCACTTGCTGTAACAGAGTGCCTGGCATCGTGTCTACACCTCCGCCACCACCATCAGCCTCGCCAATTTATACATAACTCAGGTGGGGATCCAAGGCATGTCACAGCACGTAAAACTCCACCCAGAATGTCAGCATTCCACATGGCTGCCAGCTTGAGCCCTGGCTGCTCCACTTCCCAGCCAACTCTCAGCTAACAGCTTTGGAAAAGCAATGAAAGATGGCCCAAATGCGCTTAGGCCCCTTCCACGCATGCGGGAGACCTGGACGAAACTTTTAGCTCAATCCCAGCTGGGTACTGTGGCCATCTGGAAGGTGAACCAGCAGATGAAAAGCGCTTGTTCTCTCTCTCTCTCTCTCTCTCTCTCTCTCTTTTCCTCTCTCTCTCAACAGTTTCATATGGCTCGTAGTGCTGAGGGCTGCAGGGTAGTAGAGCATGGCTCTGACATCTGCCTAGCCTCTGAGGGAGCGGGAGCCCTCTTGCCCCGCCATGACAGGGCAGAGGGCACCCCAGGGCTAGACAGGGCAAGCTGCCAGCTCAGGTTCTCTTTCTTTCTTGGATCAAACCACCAAGGTCTAATGACTGATTTCTCTAGCCCTAAGACTCAAGGCCCCATGTCCGAATACCATCAATGTGGAAGACAACGCTCAAACAGCGATGCTTTGGGAAAGAAACACCCCGTTGGGCAAGAAGCATAAGCACTTTTCTCTCAAAGAATGCCAAAAAAAGGTCCACTGTGGCCATTGCACAAGTTCACGGATGGCCGTGGAGCCCGTGGAGCCCATGGAGCCCCAAGGAGGAGCCCTGGCTCCAAGGGTGACAGCCAAGGGCTCAGATGTTGGGAGCAGGGGGGTGGGGGCGGTTGGCATCCAACAGCTGCTCTGAAGAGGAGCAGGTGCGGGTACCCTCCTCGGTCATGATCACCTCTCGCCCTCTGGCCTCTCGGGAGGATTCCGGCAAAGCAGCGGGCAGAAACGCGGCCGACAGCCAAGGCGTTGAAGTGGTCCAGATCTGGCTACTGCAGCCCTCGGGGCAGTGAGTCAACAGATGAAGGCTCTCTCTCCCTTTCTCTATATAATTCTACTTTTCAAATGAATAAATATATTTTTTTAAGATTGATTTATTTTGATTGGAAAGGCACATTCACAGAGAAGGAGAGACAGAAAGAAAGATCTTCCATCTGCTGGTTCACTCCCCAAGTAGCTGCAACAGCTGGAGCTGAACCAATCCAAAGCCAGGAGCCAGGAGCTTCTTCTCCCATACAGGTGAAGGGCCCCAAGTCCTTGGGTTGTCCTCAACTGCTTTCCCAGACAACAACCAGTGAGCTGCAAGGGATGTGGAGCAGCCGGGATTAGAACTGGCACCCATATGGGATTCCAGGCGCGCAAGGTGTGGACTTTAGCTGCTAGGCAACGCACCAGGTCCATTTTTTTTTTTTTTTTGTACTCATAGGTTTTAATTTTTAAAAATCTGTCCAACACCTGAACAAGTCTCTTTCATAAGGATGACCGATTTTCACCTGAATTTTTGCAGGATTCAGGCACTTCGCTTGAGTAGTGAGGCCCAACTTCTTAGGGTCCTGAATTCACAAATCAGGCTGTAGGAAGCCCAAACCTAAGATGGGACGGCTTGCCCAAGGAGAAGCCAAGGAGGCTTCCGACCCTGAGAAATCTTCAGCAAATCCAGAGAGCAAAGCTTTCCGGAGAGCTTACGCCGAAGGACAGACGTCTGCACGCTGCTAGGTCCAGCTCCTCAGGCAGGAGCCAGCTTTGTCCAGGCACGGGCCTCCAGGGCAGAGGCTCAATCAGCCTTCACAAGAGATGTGAAATCTCCGTCTATTTCAGCGGACGCACAAAGAGCCGAGGGATGCTTGTCAGCCAGTTACTGACAAGATGGCCATTTCCGACGGAGACTGCCCTCAACCCAGACCACAGATTCCATGCGAAGGATCTCATGGAGGAGGGTCTTGCAGGAGGGTCATGACCAGGCAGCCTGGGAGGCTTGCTTCCCCTTGCCCCCCACCCTCCACCCCTTGGGCTGTGCCCTCTCAGGGAAGTGGGGCAAGCTACTGCCTTCAGAGGAACGGAGGGTCCTTTCCAAGTCGTGAATTCACTTCAGCAATTCGGACAAGGCAGCTTTCATGCCGTTATTGAGGATCTAATGATCTGATTTGGACCCCTGAGGGGGGAAAAAATAATCCTAGAGGAGCAGTAACACACTTCAAGACAGCTGCTACACTTCCTCAGCTCTGTCAGAACACTGTCCCCCCTGCACATGGACACAAGCCATCCGTCTCCCTGCGCACGATGGGCCATTCAGTAGCTCAAAGGGAGAAGACTGTCTGTTTCTCTTGGCATTTTTAAAAACTTGAATGCTGACTCTGAGTATTTTTCCTTAGCTTTGTGTGTGGGAGAGTGAGCTGAGCTACTTTGCCAAATTTCTATCAAAATGTCCCATGCTAACTGATTTATATAGTGTTTTAAATAGGATAGCTGCTAATATTTCCCCCAGCTTGGCATGCGCTAACGTGATCTACTCGTGTTTGGGCCACACACGCAAGTGTTGGGTTTTCATCTTTTTTCTTTATTGTTTCTGTCTTTGTTACCGTGGTTAGGAAGGCTGGTCCTGTGCCAAGATTATATATATGTATGTGTGTGTATATATATACATATTTCTCTAGAGGTTATCTTGGTATTTAATTCCTCGCTTCTCCCCAACTAATCTTTAGCCTTTTATCATAACACCATTCATGGGGCTTCTTCCCCCAATGTTTTGAAAAACGGCAGAGGAGAGGGTAGTCTTCGGCAATTACACAAAACCGTACTGTTGATGAGACTTCTCTTTGGCCCACAACCCGCGACTGTCCCTCCGGGTGAGCATCTGCCTCGGGACTTGGTCCCATAGAGGATTTAGAAAACAACTGGAAAGTTCTATCCAAGGCATGCCGGGGTCTCCCCTGAGTCTCCTCCACCACCTTCTCCCCCAGCTTTCCATTCTAGGGAGCCATTTGCCCAGGACTTCCCAAAGGAATTTCTTCAGGTTGCTGTGACAGAGGTGACTCCCGTCGCCCTCCACAGCCAACTTTTTCCTCGCAAAACTTTGTCAACTACTTTCACAGCTGGTCTTCACCCCAAGCAGAATGGGGGCTTCCAAGCATGACGTCAAGGCAAAATGTTGGCGGGTGGGTAAAGGGAGCATGGCGGGAAATGACTCCTAACCCGGCACAGGGGGAGGAAGGCGGGAGAGCCCTAACTTAAAACCGCCCCAATGCCCCTACCAAAGCCCTCGGCTCCCGACGCCCAGGCCGGGTGCCCCATCACAACGAAGTCGTCACTGACCGCGAAGTCCCGGGAAAAACTACGCTTCCCACAGTGCCCCGCGAGGCGGACGGGCGGCGGCGGCGGGCGAGTCCGCGCGAGGGCTCCTGGGAGCTGTGGTCCGCCGCTCGCGCCGGCGCGCTGTGGCTCGGCGCCGGCCTTTGTCCGTCTGCGGGCGCGCACCGCTGCGGTGAGTGTGAGGCCGCGGCCGGGTCAGTGCGCCGGGCGAGGCGGGGCCGCCGCGTCCCTCCGCAGGCCAGGGGCCTGAGCCCTGAGGGCGGCCCGGCCAGTCCGGGCGGGTTCCCTGGGCCGGAGAGCGGGATGCTCGAGGCCAGGCCTGCGGGCCGGCCCGAGGCCTGCGCGGGGAGGGGAGGAGAGGGCTCGCCGCTCCCTGGAGACGTGGGAAGGGGCGGGTTCCCCAGCAGGTGCATCCGCGGGTCTGTCGGAGGGCCCCTGAGGAGGGTGAGGAAGAAGGCCCGGGCTCCCTCCGGAGGCAGGACGAGGCGCATCGCAGCCAGTCAGGAGTGAGTGTGTGTGTGTGCGTGTGTGTGTGCGTGTGTGTGTGTGTGTGCGTGTGTGTGCATGCGTGTAGAGGCCACTCCTGCCCAGGCCCTCATCCTGAAATCGGTGCCTAAGGGGTCCCTAGATCCCCCCCAGGACTCTGCATTCTTAGACCTGCAATCCGTAAGCCGCCTCACCCAGTTCTTCATTCGGTTCTTTTGGTCTTCCCAGGAGCCACCCGGTTAAGACAAAACTCTGAAACCTTTAGTTAGGAAAGAGGGAGGTATTGTGCCACCTGTCCAGAGTCCGGGCCGAGATGGGGGGAGCCCAGGTGAGAGAATCCTGGTTTCTAAAGATCTATGTATTCAGAGGGTTTTTTTTTTTTTTCCAAGAAGATAAAAGGCTTTCTGATAGGCAAACCTCATTTTCTATTATAGAATCAACATCTTTAGGAAAAGAGCTATTCCCCAGACCTGTGAACTGGGGAGAACAGTTGCCCTTTATTCGACGAGATGGCTGAAGAGTCAGCTCAGTTGCTACTGTTTGGAGACCTCCCTGCGGGACAGGAGGGCAAGCTAAAGAGAGATTCCTACCCACTTATTCGGATGTAAATTGTACTTTCATTCAAGGGAAACAACAGTATAAATAAAATGTAAGAATAGGAAGCCTATGCAAGAGCTTTCTCAGACCTGGAAGAGCAATTCAGTCTGGTGAGACACTTTCCATCTGTCCATTTTACAAGAGTTCTCACGAGCTCCTGCAGACCAGGGAACTGTACGGTATACAAGCACAAACTTCCGAATCTGAAAAGTCTCGAATCTGAACCTCGGCTCATGTTGGCCCTTCCCTGCCTGTGGAACTTTGGCCAAGTGACTTTAGCCTAATTGAGCGCCTTGGGCTTGTCTATAATCCGGGATGGGTCTCCCCCTTTCTTAGAATTGCAAGACAGTTCTGTGAACTGACGGGTCTCCAAGAGGAGGGAGGTGAGGTCTGGGTCGGAAGCCTTCTAAGAACACTTAAAGGGTAACTGGTACACCCTTATAACCTAAGAGGAAAATGAGGGCTGGGTCTGTTTTCCATCACAGGTCCAATAAAGGGTGCAGTGTTGTTTGTGTAGAATCTTGAATTCCTTGGGCTTGAAGGAAAAAAAATGAGAAGGAAGCAAAAGATTCCAATCAAAAGACCAAAAGCACAGAGCGGGGTGACTGTTCCCTTAGGACCAGCAGGAAGAAATATTTCCATGTTTGCTTTCCCGCCCCCCTGCTCCTGTCTCCAACTGGACTCACTGGTGCCTGGTCGGCTACCTTTGGGGCCGTTTTGCAGCGTCCTGATAGGTGACTCCGAGGCAGACTTCCTGCATCCAGCCACACCCCCCGCTGATGAGCTTACATCTGCCCTTACCTGTTTGTTTCTGTTGTTTGGTGTTTCCCCCCCGCCAAGGTGGTCAAGAACAGCCCATGGAAGACTCCTCTGAAGACGTGCCGATACAGGCCCCACAGCCCGAGTGGACATGTTTGGATTTCCAACAGCTACCCTGCTGGACTGTCATGGAAGATACGCCCAGAACGTAGCGTTTTTCAGTGAGTGAGTTGGTTGATCCCTGGGCTGCCTCGGCTCACAGACGTATTCAGTGTCCCTGTCTTCCCTCCCCGAATTCTGTAATCACGCTAGCTAGATCTCAGAAGACAAATCACTTCACTTCCATAAGCTCCTGGATCTCTGTAAAATGGGACAATAACATCGGTTTTATAAGATCGAAGGAAAGGATTTTACAGCAGAAATAAAAAGTGCCAAGAATTCTGCCATGTGTTTGGTGAGGTAATGGAGCTTACTTCATTGTCAAAAGAGCAGACCGTGGCTCAGGGTGGAACCTAACACAGCTTAAGACCCATAGCTCTCCCTTGAGTATTCTCTTCAAGTCCCATGCCTAATTATGCTTTTTCTCCAAAAGATGCTTGTAAGTTTTGTTTTTGTTTTTGTTTCTTTGTTTTTTAAGATTCATTTTATTTGAAAGTCAGATATACAGAGAGGAGAGACAGAGAGGAAGATCTTCCCTCCTTTGATTCACTCCCCAGTGACCACAACAGCCAGAGCTAAGCCAGTCCAGAGCCAGAAGCCCAGAGTCTCTTCCAGGTCTCCCACGCGGGTGCAGGGTCCCAAGGCTTTGGGCCGTCCTCGACTGCTTTCCCACGCCACAAGCAGGGAGCTGGATGGGAAGTAGGACCATCGGGATTAGAACCAGCGCCCATATGGGAGGGATCCTGGCACGTGCAAGGCAAGGACTTTCACTGCTAGGCAACCGTGCTAGGCCTTATAAGTTTTAAAGCTATACAACTTGGATCCACCTATTTGGGAGGGGCCGGATAAACTTGAATATAGATTTCCATATTCTTTTATAATTTTCTTAATTTCTTGGCCCTGTCTAAGTGTAAGGTAGAGGTAATCATGTCTGCTTCACAAAATTATTAGGCGTGCTAAATTAGATTCAGCTGAAAAGTAGCACATAGGGGGGTGGAATAAAACAGAAAGGAAAGTAGTACTTTGCTTGGCGCATGCCTGTGTTTGAATCTCAACCCTAATTTCCTTACCTGTGTGATCTTTGATGACCTCCCCAAGTGCTCTTAGGATTGTTCCCAGGATTAAACCATTTATGCAAAGCCCATAGTGTAATTCCTGACACAGAAGAAGGACTCAGGATAGTGTTCCTCTTTTGTTCCTGTTCTTCTCAGTCTGTTAATACATCTTGTGTGGCTTCCCTCCCATTTCCCCAGATGTGATGACAGAAGCGCACAAATATGATCATGCTGAGGCCACGGGATCCTCAAGCTGGGATTTCCAGAGTTCTTTCAGAAGAGAAAAGCTGGAACAAAAATCCCCGGATTCTAAGACACTGCAGGAAGATTCAGCTGGAATTAGACCCAAGGTCTATGAATGCCAGGAATGTGGAAAATCCTTCCGGCAAAAAGGGAGTCTAACGTTACACGAGAGAATCCACACTGGGCAGAAGCCATTTGAGTGCAGCCACTGTGGGAAAAGCTTCCGGGCCAAAGGTAATCTCGTTACACATCAGCGAATACACACGGGAGAAAAACCCTACCAGTGCAAAGAGTGTGGGAAAAGCTTCAGTCAGCGAGGGAGTCTGGCCGTCCACGAGAGACTGCACACGGGACAGAAACCCTACGAGTGTGCCATCTGCCAGAGAAGCTTCCGGAATCAGAGCAACCTTGCCGTCCACAGGCGAGTTCACAGCGGCGAAAAGCCCTACAGGTGCGACCAGTGCGGGAAGGCCTTCAGCCAGAAGGGAAGCTTGATCGTTCACATCCGGGTACACACGGGCCTGAAGCCGTACGCCTGTACCCAGTGCAGGAAGAGTTTCCACACCAGGGGCAACTGCGTCCTGCATGGCAAAGTCCACACGGGAGAGACACCTTATCTCTGTGGCCAGTGCGGGAAGAGCTTCACCCAGAGAGGGAGCCTGGCGGTGCACCAGCGCAGCTGCTCCCACAGGCTCACCCTCTGAACGCCTTCCTCAGAGGAAGCCCGCCTTTCCAAAAGAAACTCCTCTACCGTCAAACAGCCTCTCCAGGTCTATGGAATCCGTGCAGAACCTTCCAGAAAGACCCATCCCTGGGTAGGGCTGAAACTGACTTTTCTCCCTTCCCCAAAATGAATATATAAGAAATAAATGTCTTGTTTATTATCATTATCAAAGTACTCATAGTTAGCTTCTTTTTGACGTAGTTTCCCCAACATCAATCTAACATCATCCTACAGAGTTCTCTCTTGTGTAGCAGGTATTGTTAAAATTTTAGTGGGCACCGTCAGCCTTTAAAAAAAATAAAACCAGCCCCTTGCCAATACCAAGGTCCTTTTGTATAATTTATACACCAGTTAATCTCATCTTGTATTCAAGACCACTAAGTAGAGTCCATGGGGCAAATGTAATAATCACTTTATTAAACATTTTATTACTTGCATTATACCCCTGATAACCTAGCAAGCCACTCATGTCTCCCAAGGCCCCAGGTTTTAGAGTTCTTACTCTGGGGTTTAGTTCAGTCGTTCGTTCATAATAGAGACAATTTGCTTAACGACCAAAAAGCAGACTGCTCCTATTTGCAGTTTTCTTAGATTCCTAACCTTATTTCCTCTCTTTCAAGTGGCTTCTCGTCCCCAAGAGGCATGACCTCCTGTTTAGCCACGCTTGTCACACCTCACAGTCGGAGTCACCTAAAAAGGGCAGAACTGTCGCTCGTTACTGAGCCTAGATTTGTAATTATTATTTTTTTAATATACATTGATTTTGTTTGAAAGGCAGAGTTACAGAGAGGGAAAGGCACAGAGATATTCCATCTGCTGATTCACTCCCCAAATGCCCACAGCGGCCAGACTAGGCCAAGGTCAAGCCAGGAGTCTCCGCTGGGTCTCCCACATGAGTGCAGGGGTCCAAGCACGTGGGCCGTCCTCCACTGCCTTCAACAAATGATCCCGTACCTCCTGCACGTGAGACGTGTGGAAACATAACTGTTCTTTCTCTATAACCTTTAGCAGGTCTGGAGTACCTTATCTCTGCCAAGAGCTATTTGGATTTTTATATCCTTGACAGAACATTTAAAATGATCAACTTAAAATCGTCCCTCTTAGACTGACTGAACTTTGAATCCAGCCCATGGTTGCTTTGGCAGAGCCAGACCAAATGATTTTGCGAGCCTTATCCGGCCCACAGGCCAGGTCCTCCGCACCCTGTAGAGGATGAGATAGGAAGGAGAGAAAAAGTCAGTTTCGAGGGAAGGTTCCCGTTTCCTTACTTGAGCCATCTAATTTTTCATCCTGAGAATGAAAAAGATGAGTGATTGACACTGACACCATGGCTTAGTAGGCTAACCTGTCTTGGGCACCTGCATTCCTGTGAGCGCCAATTCCTGTTCCAGCTGCTCCGCTTCCCATCCAGCTCCCTGCCTGTGGCCTGGGGAAGGGGCGGAGGATGGCTCAAGTCCTTGGGACCCTGCACCCGTGTGAGACACCCAGAAGAGGCTCCTGGATCCTGGCTTCAGAACGGCCCAGCTCTGGTGGTTGTGGCATTTAGAGAGTGAACCAGCCAATGGAAGGCTGACCCAGAAAGCTTCTGAGAGCAAAATGCTTCCCTCTAGAGGGGAACAAGATATTTTTGAGCACAGAATCACTTTGGAGACAGATTTAAATCAGGAAAACATCCAAAGATATATGCAAGAATGTTCTTTCCACCCTCATTCATAATAGCTACACGAACTGTAAACGAATGTTCAAGAAAAAGCAAAATATAAATGTTTTTAAGGATTTCTTTTCTTTTTATTGGAAAAGCAGATCTACAGAGAGGAGGAGAGACAGAGAGGAAAATTCATCCGTCCAATGGTTCACTCCCCAAGCAGCTGCCACAGCTGGAACTAAGCCAATCCAGAGCTAGGAGCTTCTGAGTCTCCCACACAGGTGCAGGGTTCCAAGGCTTTGGGCCGTCCTCTACTGCTTTCCCAGACCACAAGCAGGGAGCTGGATGAGAAGCAGGGCTTCCAGGATTAGAACCAGCGCCCATATGGGATCCTGGAGCATGCAAGGCGAGTACCTTAGCCACTATGCCGCTGCGCCGGACCTGCAAAAGATAAATTATTAAGCTCACACAATGAAGCACAACTTGTAGAAGTAATTCTACAAGACTCATGAGGCTAGAGCTGAGAAGCCCTTACGCACTCCGAAGAACTCTGTGGTTCTCATATGGTACTTGCTGTAAAGGAAACCAGCCACCGTTGAAAACAAGCCCGCTACGCTGAAATCGCTCCAACAAACAAGCTGTACGGGGTGCTGCAGCTCAATTCCCAGCAGCCATCAGCAGCTCCGGGGGACAGGTGACCAAGAGACACAGCTCAGCAGCATCTTCAGGGCCGACATGCCACCAAACCTGCACGAGAGGTCCACAAGTGACACTGCCTGACCAAATTTCTAACAAAATCACACCAAAAAATAGATGCTTTACATCACCACATGTCCAGCAAATTTGTTTTGCAGCAATAATAGAAAATGTAGCTTTTTCAAAATGATGGAAAACTTTTTTCAAAGGAAAAACACTAGAAAGCAACTAGATTATCTTACTGGCTAAATCAGGAAAATACATAATTGTATGATTCATTGGAAAATTTAAATTTCAAATGAATATGTTCCCTTTGACAAAATGAGAGACGGGATCTAGATTGGTTCACCCCCAAGTTATAAAAATGAACAGGTGCTAGACTCCAGCATTCCGGAAAATAAGTGAAAGAAAGGCAGTTTTTCAATTTTGGTACCAAAAAACTGGTAAGCCAGAGCCAGTGTTGAGATGCACCAGGTTAAGCCAGCGGCGACACTGCCATTCCCTGTTCAAGTCCCGGTGTTCCTGTTTGGGTCCAGTTCCCCTGCTGATGTGCCTGGGAAGAGAGCAGGTCCTGGCCCGGGTCCTCGGGCCTCTGTCGCCACGTGGGAGACCTGGATGAATGGAGCGTCAGGAACCTGACTGTGGGAACTACTTAGAAAGCCAACTGGCAGATGGAAATTCTATCCTCTGTCCCTCTCTCTGTTACTCTGCCTTTCAGATCAAATTTTAAAGGAAATCTATTTTAAAAAGTATAATACAAAAAAATTTATAATCCTGGTTCTGCCAAAAGAAATAAGCAGACAAGAAATAGACCAAAAATTGTCAATATCATTCCTATTGTATATGTATATATTGTCATGACATATCTTTACACATTAATTATTGAAGTAATATAAATGTTATAATGATGGGTCAGTGCGATGGCTCAGCGGGCTAATCTTCTGCCTGAAGTGCCAATATCCATATGTGTGATGATTCGTGTCCAGGCTGCTCTACTTCCAGCTCCCTGCTTGTGGCCTGCGAAAGCAGTGGAAGATGGCTTAGGATTCTGGGACCCTGAACTCCTGTGGGAGAACCAGAGGGACCTCCCGGCTCCTGGCTTCGGATCAGCTCATCTCCAGCCATTGTAGCCATCTGGGGAGTGAATCAGGATGGAAGATCTTTCTGTCTCTCCTTTCTGTAAATATGTCATTCAAATAAAAATAAATAAACCTTAAAAACTGATAAAGTAATATTGAAAAGAAAATACATGAAACAGGCCCCGTCCTAGTGCTTGTTTGCACACATCTGGAGGGTCACCATGGGACATTGTCGTTCTCTGCCTCCCTCTCTCTCTTCCTTTCTTCAATCTCTTCCCACTCAAAAAAAAAAAAAAAAGTATGATCTCGGCGTGATAGCCTAGCAGTTAAATTCCTTGCCTTGAATGCCCCGGGATCCCATATGGGCGCCAGTTCTAATCCCAACAGCCCCACTTCCATCCAGCTCCCTGCCTGTGGCCTGGGAAAGCAGTCCAGGACGGCCCAAAGCTTTGGGACCCTGCACCCGCATGGGAGACCCGGAAGAGCTCCTGGCTCCTGGCTTCGGATTGGCTCAGCTCCAGCTGTTGCAGTCACTTGGAGTCACTCCTCTCTGTGTATCTGCATTTCCAATAAAAAATAAAGAAATCTTTAAAATATATATATATCAGTGAAAGAGTGAAGTACAAAAATTATTTGATTTCCTAAGAAAAGGGAAAGGAAGGAAAGAGGAAAAAGAGCATCAGATGATACTAATGAGACAAACATTATTACAGATTTAAAAAATAATAATTACCGTTACCTAATATACTAAGCATCATATTTCAGAAGACATTACCCTTGCAGAGGGAATCTAAAATCAACAAGCAAATACATCATTTACAAGAATATCATTAAATATTCCCCTTTTCTTGCTCCCAAATTTATAAAAAGGGGGATAGGGCCCGGCACGGTGGCGCAGTGGTTGAGGTCCTCGCCTTCCACGCCCGGGATCCCATAGGGGCGCCGGTTCTAATCCCGGCAGCCCCTCTTCCCATCCAGCTCCCCACTTGTGGCCTGGGAAAGCAGTCGAGGACGGCCCAAAGCTTTGGGACCCTGCACCCGTGCAGGAGACCCAGAGGAGGCTTCTGGCTTTGGATCGGCACAGCATCGACCGTTGCGCTCACTTGGGGAGTGAATCATCGGACGGAAGATCTTCCTCTCTGTCTCTCCTCTCTGTATATCCGCCTTTCCAATAAAAATAAAATAAATCCTAAAAAAAAAAGGGGGGAGGGGATAAACTAAACAAGAAAACTAAGAATCTAAAATGTTACACCCCCAATAACAAGATAGGAAAAATAAACTTTCCTGCCACTATACTGGCATAACACAATACTTCTGCTGTGAATAAATTGGAGGAGAGGGGCCCACACACTAGGCAAGCAACCAATTCTGCTGCCAATGACTCATCAGAGGACAGCAGCTGGGCATCCGCTGAGCAGACCCCACCGCACCTCAGGTGCCAGCTGCAGGTGCCAGCTCCCACTTCTGATCGACCTGCTATAGAGTAGGGCTCCTGCAGTCCCCCCTGTGGGACTGGCTGCTTTGCTAGATGGGCTCGCAGGGCGTGGTGTGGGACAACGGTGGTGGGGCTCCCCTGCCCTCTTCACGAGCCCCACACCCCATCCTTGTAGACCGTTACACAGACTTGATCACACAAGCATAATGACATCACTGGTCTTTGGGACTCAACCTTCAAACCCTGCCCCTGCCCTGAGATTGGAGACAGCGCTGACTGTCCCACATTCCTCTAAGCTGCCTCG